AAATCTACAGGTTCATGCATTGTTTACAAACACAAAATAATATTGAAATATCATCATCTCAAGAAATCTTCTGATCGGACAGGCTCGAGTGAATATGCATCATCCTCCCCATCCCCAATCCAAGCTCACACATCTGCCTCATTGCCTTCTCAACCTCCTCCTCCTCCTCCTTCGATTTGCTCCCCGAGCCTGCAACCTCTCTGTTCAAATTGACTACCTCCTTCAAGACCCCGATTCTAATCGAACGGGCTCGAGTGAATCTGCATAATCTGACACTTATTTGAACAATGTTGCATAAATCAGGATAAACGTAAGGTAAAATTCACAGATCCAACAAACCTCGAGGGCGTCCTACCACTATTTCCTCTAAGTCTTATCAGCTAGGGTTTCAGTAACAGTAGGGACCCAAACTTTGGCCTCCGCTCGATCCTCAATCTTCTTCTTAACATTTTTTATCAGCCCCTTCTCGAGGGAAGCTAGAGCCCCCTCAGTGACCCCCAGGAACTCTCCCTCCTTCCAGTGCTTCTTCCTCGGCGTCGCCGACGGTAGCTGCGGCGGCGGACGAGGGCTTGTCATGTTGGGGGGAGGGGGAGGTCTTGGGGTTAGCTCAAGGAGAAAGAAAGTGATCGTGGGAGTATTAAATTGGGTAGGGTAATTTGGGAATGGATTTATTGGGCAATGGGTTTACACAGTATTTGGGGATTACGTGCACTTTTATTTCTGTATAAGTGTTTTTGGGTTATGGTTCTTAGGCTGGGGGTGAGGATGCATGGCCCAATTATTTTGAGTTGTTCCATGCAATTTTCCCAACTTCGTAATCAGGCTAAACAAGTACGGCTGTATATCTATTTTATTTATATAGTCTTAACGAAACGTATGTGGGTCTATTTGTGTGGATTTTTACAACATAATATAGCTCATTGGCCAATTACAGAAAGATGCCAAAATTAAGTGATTTCACAGACATCTTATATGCATCTTGCTTTGATACTGAACTCAACATCAAGATCAATGTGATAGTAGGATAAATCAAATGTAGAATAAACAAGACGCGATCAGCCAAAATTAAGCATTAGAAGGTAATGTTGTTCAGCCACAACTCGGGCCTACGTTCACAAACATCTTTCTGCTATACTAACAAGAAACAAACACCACAAATACTCTCAAACAAAAAAGGATAAATGAGAAAATACAATGGTTTACCCCAAAGCTCTAAACTCACAAGTGACTTGTACAGAACTGTTATTGACGTAATCTGTAGAGATTCTAAGATGATGTAATGTTGAACAAATCAATCAAGGTGACCTTCTTAACCAACTTTATTTCCCCTTTATTCATGTCAACTCAAGTATTGTTATAAGGCTCAAGCCTCAACCAACAACGTGTGAATTGAATCAATTTATTCAAGTTATTATATCACTCGACCCACCAAATGTTTGAGTCCACTGAGATTGCTAAGGACTCAAAACCAACAATTAAACCAACAAACAACATGCTTATTTAACAATTAACCTTCTTCATTAATTAATTGATACTAAAATTCTTTTTTATGGGTGGCCTCCAGTACAAATTCTCTACTACGGGATGTGATAGTTTAATCTTCTATCCAAAAATAATCAGATGTCAACAAATAGAAGTGATGAAGTCCCTAGGCAGCTAATTTTTAGGCTATGTTTGTTTATTTATTTGTTTGTTTTGATAGTGCGGATATACATGCAGATATTAATCATCTAGAGGGATTAAGATTTTAGAATAAATTTGCAGTTATCATGTTTAGATTTTTTTTTTCAATTGATTTTCCCGCATTTTTTTCCTTTTTCGTAACCAAATTTAACTGATCATCTTTTCCCAAAAAATTAAAAAAAAAGTTTAATTTCATGGGCGGAAAAAACGTTTCCTCTTCTTCTTTCGCAAGGCTGATTTGTCTTGCAATGATGGACATGATATGGCCGTTAGACATACACCTTGCATGATTCGAGAAAAGACAAAATCTTATAGAAGCTTTTTATGGATAAGTCAAGAGAGTCCATAAATCAAGAAAAAGAAGGAGAAGGCTAATAACACTTACATACCTATAATTTCATTCATTTTGGACTTATATACCCTTATTTTTTTTATTAATATTTTACTATGCTCGATTATGTAAATATAAAAAATTTTACCCCGTTATTCCTGTTGGGATTTATAGATCTCGCAAAAACCCCAAAAAAAGCCACCAAACGCAACAAATAAAATCACACATGATTTAACATGAAAAACCCTCAACAGGCACGGGATCAAAATCAATCCACTATCATCTTCAAATTATAATCTTTTGCACGGACAAAGACCGCCAAACCCCCTCTCTCTCTCTTTCTCTTTACACTTCTTCTTCTTAGTTTTTTCTCTAACAATAGAAGAATATATATAGGAAAACCAAAACCCTATCTCTAGCCAAACTTCCTAATTAGAATAGAATTCAAACTCCTAATCATAATAGAAGAACTCAAACTCCTAATCATAATAGATCTCTAACCCTATCTAATTCTTTAAAGTTCTACAAAGAATTAAAACACTATACTAACTTGGAGTTTGAGTTGATATCCAACAATTCTCGTATGACATTTACATGCTAATTGATTCTAAGTGAAACATACGAGCATCCGATTGAAAAGTTTCACGTCTCCACAACAGGTGGTCGTAAAGTGCTAATATTAAACAACCTGTAGGCTGTCTAAAATTCACTACAGATAGTTTATCCCCATCAGACACCAATGATGGAAGTTACAATCTGACGACTTCCAGAAGGCTATAATTTGAAGACTTTCACGTAGAAGGTTACAATCTGACGACCTTTACAACAACTAATGAAAGCTCTAATTCAACAGCCTTCACAATCAACATCGGGAGTTACAATCTGATGACTCTCATATTTTCAAGGAGCCAAGACGAAGGTTACAAGGTGACGATCTTTGCAAACGCTCTAGAGACTACAAATTGACGGTCTCTTCATATTAAAACGCAGATATCTCTCAAACCGTAAGGAATTTGGCAAAACTGACGGAGCAAACCGAACCCTATGAGATTGGTTTGGTCGGCTCCGTCTCATCGAGATAGCCGATTTTCATATATAATTCGTTCAATTCCGACTTACGGTTTGAAAGTTATGACATGTTCTTCGCAGCAAGTTATGTTCTGAAGTCCGTCTGCAAGACTGGACTTCGTCTGAACATTGGACTTAGCCTGAAGCTCGCCGAGCCCACCTAAGGCTCACCTCTGCATCCAAGATTCAAAACGCAGAGGTCATGCCCGCGTTCTAAACTCAAAACGCAGAGGTCGTGGCTGCGTTCCAGATTCTAAACGCAGAGGTCGTGGCTGTGTTCCAAACTCAAAACGCAGAGGTCGTGGCTGGGTTCCAAACTCGAAACGCAGAGGCCGTGGCTACATTCTAGAGTCAAAAACGCAGAGTTCGTGGACTCAAAGCGCGGAGTCCATGCAGAACCCAACTCTGCATCTCAGGTCCAAAACGCAGAGTTCATCTCTGTGTTCCAACTCTGCATCTCAGGTCCAAAACGCAGAGTTCATCTCTGCATCCCATCTCTGCGTCCTAACTCTGCGTTTCAGAATTACAACGCATCGCGGCCTGTGCGTTCAGCCACCCAACATAGGCCCAACTCTGCGTTTTTAGTCTAAAACGCAGAGTTCGGGCCCAGAACGCCATTTTCGGCGTTTGACTCGTTCAAACACGAACCGAACAGTTCCAGGAACGCCACTAACTCTGCGTCTCGGAGTTCATCATGCTGAGCGGCCTGTGCGTTCAGCCTAAAACACCCTAACTCTGCGTCTCAGAGTTCATTACGCTGAGCGGCCTGTGCGTTCAGATACTAAAATAGGCCCAACTCTGCGTTTTTAGTCTAAAACGCAGAGTTCGGGCCCAGAACGCCATTTTCGGCGTTTGACTCGTTCAAACACGAACCGAACAGTTCCAGGAACCGTTTTTCCCCTATAATTTGAGGAATTTCCGCCCCACTTAGGAGCAGATTAAGGGGGCAGTTACCAACCTTAATCCCCTATAAATACCAGAAACTCAATTGAGTTAAGGGATCGGATTTTGTCTCATCAACGGAGGGAGATTCGATCAAGGGCTGGCTTTTGGGGTCTTAGACTTGGCAGCAAAGGGGGAATTTCTTGGAGATCGGCATCATTCTCCAACGGAGATCATCTTCAAGATCTGCAACAAGAGCTTTCATCCTTGGCTTATAACCGAATTTCGGTTAAATCAACCCTTCCATAGAGTTTCAAACTCGTTCAGAGTTATCAACTCGATCAGAGTTCAAAACTTGCTCTGCAAGTTCTTCTAAAACTCGCTCTGAGTTATTAACTCGTTAAGAGTTATTTTCAAACTTGCCACGCAAGTTCTCCACAACGTCAAATCGTGAGGAGAAGACCACGTCCCAGTGAAACAAGACGTTCGGATCGTCAATGGAGAGCAAACTCGACGCGAGCATTCGAGGGAGGCACTCCATCGCCACCGTGAAGAACCCAGAATTAAACAAAGGGGAGAATCTAGATCATTCTCCTCTATTTTGTAATCAGGAAATCCAATTGTAACTGAGATTAAAGGAATACAAATCCAAATTTTCCTTCGTTTCTTTTACTCCAAATTTTCCACAAACACAACCCTATATGCTGCTATAAGGTTAAAAACAAGTGAGGGTACATAAGTGCAAAATGAGTGAAACTATCATATATTTAAGTGCTAATATTCAATTTTAGCATTTGTTTTTCCTTCAATAAAATCCTTCACAAAATCAGTTAATAGTATGTCATCGGAGATCTTTTCACTTGTTCACACTACCTTAAAATTCTCCTTCGTATCTACAATTCAGCTGAATAATTCATGGATAACTCTAACAAACTAATTAGTAAATCTCAACCGATCATATTATTATCCATAATCCTATCCAATTTATGTAAATTCCGCAACTCCCTCCTTATCTTATATACATATACACCACCTCACTTCTCATTCTAACTCATCAACTTTCTTTCTCAAAGCTCTTCATTTTTTTTATTCTAATTAAGCTCCAGTAATCATGTCATCAAGGCAAAATAATAGTGAAGAAGAGATCACCAAAGTTGAAGAAGGCTTGTATACTGTTGGCGACAAGGATGAGGATTCTGCATTTTTATCTGTCTCTATAATCACACTTATGCAAAAGGTACATTTTGATTACTTTTTATATGCTAATCTTTGGATAGAAATGAATTGAATAATAAATATTTCATAATTTTTTTTGGAATGTATCTGAAATCAAAATTTACTCTTCAATTTTCTTCGGATCTAAAATTCAAATGCATATAATTAGATTATTTGTCGAATATACATGGGATATTAAAATATAATTATTTTTTAATATCATCAGCTCATGTCTATCAAATACTTTGATTATAAAATATTTCATTAATTGGTTAAATATTTATTTTCACTTGATAAACGGTTAATTTCTCGATAGCACCTAAATTTCATGTAGCTAAACAGATAATATTCATGATGTATAAATATGTAATTTTTACATTTTTTTATTGAAACTCTTTTAAGTCTTTCGAAAAAAATACATAAGAAATATAAAAGAAATATGCAATGGTCAAATTTGATTTTGTTTAGTATATAAGTACTAATAACCATTTGAATATTTCTCTTGAATAATTTCCCAATCCAGTTTGAACAAATAGTTAGATAAATAAATTAAACCATTATTCAAATTAATTTCGATTCCTTATCTTATATTTACCAATTCTTAATTGATTTTCCCACCCATTTTTTATTTTATTTTTCTTCTTTTTGTATTCGTCAGTTCCTTGCTGAGGCAATTGGAACATTCTTTGTGATATTTGCCGGATGTGGAGCAGTAGCGGTGAACAAGTTATATGGATCAGTCTCATTTCCAGGGATTTGCATCACTTGGGGTTTGATTGTTATGGTGATGGTTTATTCTGTTGGTCACATTTCCGGTGCTCATTTTAATCCAGCTGTCACCATTGCATTCGTCGTTCTTCGACGATTCCCATTAAAACATGTAAGAAATTATATTTGATCTTTTTTTTTTTTGGATAGAATGATCTCATCTTTTGTTGAATGTATTGAGTAAATATGAGTAAAATTGCATGACAACTTTAAGTTACCCGCACCGCACCATGACAACTTAAGTTAAATGACCCAAATTTAGGAGAATTTTCTGTGATTTATTAAGTTCAGAGGGATCTTGCACAGTACCCTTCAAAGATCAGGGGGTTTTATTAGTTTTACCCTTTGGTTATAGATCACAATTTCTACACGATCTGAGTCACGTAGCGTAGCGTATACGGTATTAGTCACTTTAACAATATTTCTCTCTAAATTGAATCTTGTTTTTATTTATAACTATAATAACTTATATAACTTTTATGTATTATATGCAGCTACCATTTTATCTCGTAGCACAAGTATTGGGATCTATATTAGCAAGCGGGGTACTGTTTTTGCTGCTGAATCCTAAAGCTGAACATTTCTACGGAACAGTTCCAGTTGGAACACCTATGCAATCCTTTGTCATTGAAATCATAATATCATTTCTCCTAATGTTTGTTATTTCTGGGGTTTCGACAGATAATCGCGCCGTAAGTATCTCTCTTTCCAAATTTTTATAATTATTCTATGGTAATTGTAAAAATCATGCACGGTAAAAATAAGAAAAATACAATTTACCTCGGTAAATCATGAAGTAATATATAAAAGGTTTATGTAATGTTGATTTAATTTTATTTTATGTTATTATTATTTTTTCCCCAGATCGGAGAACTTGCTGGAATTGCTGTTGGATCCACAATATTATTGAATGTCCTTGTTGCAGGGTATGGTAACTTCTAATCATCTTTGAGATTTCTTTTTTATTCCTTTTTTTTTTACCTTTTTTGGTTTTTGCCCTTTTGGTTTTTTTTCAGCACGAAATGTTCCTTAATTAAAGAATATGTGGAACCAATTTTAAACTATTTATTTTAGGTTCAAGTTGGTCCAAAATAAGTGCATAGTATAAACTTTCAAACAATGGTCGGCGACAGCATGCTCAATTCCACTATTGCTCATTGCTTATGGTGAAATTGGAAGGTGCTTTTTAAATTGTCAAAATTTGCAATATAGTATACTCTGTCATATCATGATGGGTAAAGGAGAATAGCACACCTCTCTATGATATTGACTTAACGCGTGTATTATTGATGTGATACATATCTAGACTATTAAGTAGACCAAGCTTTGCATATGAACGTATGTTATGACCGTAGCACACCAGTCAATGCCATTAAAGAGAGACGCACTGATCAATTACTCTCATATTAAGAAATCTAAAATCTCTCTGTGCTAAAATATTTATTTCGAATATTACAACTACGCATGATTTCACAATAGCTCTTTGACTAACTTATTCTCTCCCATTATTTGTTTCGTTTGCTAGAGTTAATTCTAGTATATTTTGTAAACATGGTTATAAAGTAGATAAAAAAAATTCCTTTTGTAGGCCAGTATCAGGAGCATCAATGAACCCTGCGAGGAGCATAGGGCCGGCTATTGTGATGCACAATTACAAGGCAATTTGGGCATATATTTTTGGACCACTGATAGGTACTCTAGCTGGAGGCTTCACATACAATCTCATCAGATTCACAGATAAACCAGTTCGTGAGCTCACAAGAACCGGCTCATTTCTCAACAGCATGTCAAGGAAAAACAATGAGTAGATAATGGATGCAACTTCTTATCAGATCTTGTATTTATCGCACGAGAGTTTCTTTTTCTTTTTCATAAAGCTGATATTTTTCTGTCAATTTTCTTATGAAAAGCTACTGCTTTTAAAAAGTATAATATTTCTTTTCGCTTGAAAAAGGGTATTACTTTAGTTCTTGCTTAGGTATTACTATGTGGTTCGTTTCCATCTATTTGTCATTTCTTTAATTTTTTTTTTTTTTTTTTTTTTTTTTTGGGAAAAATTTTTTTTTTTTTTTTTTTTTTTTTTTTTTTTTTTTTTTTTTTTACGGAAAGAAACAAGGTGAGATCCGTGTTCATGTATCATAATAAAACCAAAAGTCTATCCCATCCTTGAAATCAGTAGCCTTAAGGGATTGAACTATTTATCTCTCCACCAAGAATAGGGAGAGGACCATAGCCGTCACCTATTGCAATGGGGATTAACGGAAGGATATACATGGTATAGAGCTTAGACTGAAGAAGTTCAAGGAGTGGATTAACGGCAGGATATACATGGTATGAAGCCTACACTAAACTCGGAATGTTGAAGCTTACATAGAGCTCATATTAGCAAAACACAAAACAACCAAAAAGGATAAGACAGTGTTGGGAAGTTAGTAGTTACAAAAAGAGATTGTTCTTGCAAATAAGCCATCATTAGAAGCTGCCTCCCACACGAGCCATGTCATAGGAGAAGGAGTCATCCTGTAGCAGCAACTGAGCTAGCCTCTTCGTGGTCACCACTCTGTGAATAGTGACAGCTCTCTTTGATGCTAAGTTACCTATCTACAATATAATGAAGTGAGTAATATTAGATACTAATACTCGGGAGGGAAGTCCCAGTTACGTTGAATATGAGATTGTTTCTAGCCCTCCATAAGCACCGGCAAAGAGTTGGGAAAAGAATGGCCCACAAGGGCCTATATTCTTTGTTTTCCAAGAAGTACCCCTTGGATTCTAAAACGGAACTGAACTCCATCCGAAGAGATCTTTGTAGGAAAGGTAAGAAAAAGTTCAATATCGAAATGACATAAGGACAGTTGTGGAATAGATGGTCATCACTTTCAGGGCCTTCGTTGCATAGTGAACAAGCAACATCCCATGTCCACCCTTTTTACTAGGGCGTACCTTAGTATTTAGCTTTCTCTTCATAAGAATCCATAAGAACACTTTCATTTTAACTGGGGTGACGGAGTTCCAAATGAAGTTGTAGTTACTAGACTGAGTATTGGTGCCATTGATGAAGGAGTATACAGACTTAACTGAAAGATCCCTAGAAGGATGGTATGGCCACCATACAACATCCTTGTCTAAGCTTGGGGGAGAAAGAGAGCTATGTAGAGGTGGTCTCTTAGAGCTTGAACATCTACATAATCTCTGTTGAATATTGGCCTTCTGATCAAAGGCTGTCATCTCCACTCATTGTTATGGAGAAGGCCTTTCGATCTAACACTGACTCTGGCTGATAGAACAAGATTGTAGGCCGAAGGGAATAAGGATACCAGAGAATTGGGACCTGACCATTTGTCCTCCCAAATTCTTGTAAAGGACTCATTCCCTAATTTCCATTGAACAAGACTCCTTAATGCCTGGCTACAATAGAATGTGTCTTTCCAAAATCTAGATGGTGAGTGGCCTGGTGGTGTGCAACTAGGGTTTGTTTGGATAACTGAATACATGGAATTGAGAAGTTTACCCAGGAAAGATTCATATTGTAGAACTTTCCACATCCATTTAGAAATGAGGGCAAGGTCGAAATCATGGAGGTTGAGAATGCCCAACCCCACTTCTTTCTTTAGTTTACAGATTAGACTCCATTTGACAAGGAATTAACATGGAGAGTAGGAAACTAATCCCCCATAAGTTCCTTCTTATCATGTCCATATCTTTAATTAACCAAGTGAGGAGTTTGAAGAAGGACATAAAGTATAGAGGAATTGAAGTTAGAACATAGTTAATAAGGGTAAATTTACCTCCAATGGAGAGTTGTTTACTTTTCCACGGGGATAGTCTCTTAAACATTTTGTCTAACAGGGGCTACCGGTCTTGTTTAGTGAGTATTCCCTTTTTCAATGGTAAACCAAGGTAGGTGAAAGGAGGAAAGGCGAGAGTGCAATTAAGGATGTTGGTAGAAAATTTACCAAAGTAAAAGAGGTTGGATTTAGAGTAATTTATGCTAAGACCTAAAATGCCTTAAAAATGTATAATATGAATTTGAGCATGATGATGTTAGGGGTAGTAGCTCTACACATGATGATTTTATCTTTAGCAAACTAAAGAGAGCGAAACTATTAAGCTCCACCTAAGGTGTAGCTCAAAGAGGTCTCCTCTCTCAACACTAGAGTGAAGCATTCTGTTGAGGACATTAGCTGCTAAGATGAATAAATAAGTGAGGGAGGGTCACCTAACCTTGCCTCAGACCTCTAGATCAGTTGAAGGATTGAATGGGAGTTCCATTGACCAATATGGACAACTTGGAGGAAGACAGGATGTCCCTGATCCATTGACACCATTTGGTGCCAAAACCCCTAGTCTTGAGCAAGCTTAGCACAAAGGACCAACTGATGCAATTTGTCATTTTTTTAATGAATATGTTATTACTGTGGGAATGTCCTCAACCCAACGGAACAACTTCGATTTGATACAAAATTTAACATCATGGGAAACACTCAATTCTTATCATGCATGACATCAGAGCTTTGATACAAAAGTCTTTAACTAATTACTTTTTCCAAGATTATAAAATTTAAATTTCCAGAGGAAAATAAAAGACAATAAAGAGAACCACAATTAACCTGAAGTCAAATTTTCGTAGAAGACTAGGGTTACATTATGTCACGCTCAAGAAAGATTATTATAGCATTCATAATTTTCAGTACATGCTTCTTGATTTACTATGAAGAATAGTGATACATGAGAACCATGCAACTCAATCAAAGAGTTACGGTACTCTTATATTACACAATCGAAGAGTTCATGAGTATATGAATTATTTCTTATCCTGAAGTGAGAACCATGATAATCAATTGCAATAACAATGTATACACCGCAATTCAACTCATGATCAAGCTTTCGCTCCATATCTGAGCAATTCTAGCGGGTTAGGCAACCAAAATTTAAATTAGAATTTAAAACATATATAGTTGTTGATGCTTAATCATACAACCTGTTGCTACTTAGATTTTTTTTTTTTTTTTTTTTTTTTTGGT